CCAGCAGTTGTCATAATGGCTATGTCGCTGGACTCTCATGTAGTGTACCACAGTTCGAGTCCCGGACCCAGTGGGTTAAATTCACGTGGGGCACATGTGTGTGTGTGCCCAAGATCCCGAGTGGAGAATAGAGGAGAAGGGATTGTGGTGTGGCCATCCGCACTGGGGAATGATTTCTCGCTTTCTGTCTCTCTGTCTCTGTCTTTCTGGTGAGCACATGTGCCCCATAGCAGAAACCTCTCCAAAATAAATAAATAATGATAATGATAACTAAATTAGACAAAATAATTCTTTAAAATAATAATAATGATAATTGTAACCAAAGTACTCAAACACATTTTGCCATCAAGTGTTCAGCAGTATATGCAGGATTTAGGTCCTTTATTAAGTAACTTAGAGAAACAAGTAAACAAACAAAAACATCTGAAAAAGAGCAACAGACAGGTTTAACAAATTACAATTTTAAGACCAGCTTGGGCAAAACAGAGAAAACCTGTCTCAAAACAATTTGATTATCCACAACCAAGAGATAATAAGCCGGTTCAGATAATTAAAAAGTATGTCCTTTGAAAATTGAAGTCATTTTATTTTTCTTGTTTTTTTATTGCAAAAAGTTTCATGTGCTTTTTTTTTTTTTTTTTTTTATTGAAAAAAGTTTTTTGTTCTTTTTTTTTTTTTTTTTTTTAGAGAGAGAAAGATTTTTTCTGTAGGGCACGTGTGCTGGCCAGAGAGACAGAGAGATAGAAAGTGAGAAATCACCCCCAGGGCCATTGGCCATGCCACAATCCCTTCTCTGGTTTATTTACCGTTGCCCAGGTTGCTGGAGCTACTTGAAGGCTAACTATTACACACAGTTTGGGCATTTAAATTTTAGTCAGGATTCATGAGATACCATAAATGATGATAATAATCAACTATTATATACAATACAGCTTTGAAAGAAATTTTTTTCCTTAACATGCATTCTGTAAACAGTTCAAGGTGAAAATAGGTTCTAGCTGAACTTTCTATATTTAGTTTTAATTGTTGCTCTGAATATGAAAATTATTTCTAAGAAAACAGCAAAAGGAAGTTCTAAGTTAATTTTTCAGAAATAATTATGATTTGATAAACTTGAATAACGCATTAGTAATGTGGACTCAAACATACCTGATCACACATTTTTAAATTAAAACAGTCTTTAGTAGAACTGGAAAACACTAGCTTATCTTAGATACATTATAAATTTGTCTAAATGTCCTTTTGAAAGCTCTGACGTGGCACTTGGATCCTGTTAAGCAGGCTTTTTTTGTGGGCGTATTAATTCACATTCCACCTGTCAGCGTGCCTATAGGTAAAGACATGAAACCACACCCTCTGTTCTGACCTTTTCCTCAGGGGACACTGAGTAGAATCCTTTGGCTCAACCTGAGAGGCTGTTTGGATAGCTCAGTTCTGAAGAGCTTTTCCTTTTGCTACGAGTGAAGCAACAAGAACAAGGGAAAGGTTGCTGATTATATTTCTCAGGACTGCTACTATGGAGATTTAAAACTTGACCTTCCCTGCCAAGTTCTGCTTGGAAGGCTTACTTATTACCAGAGACATATTTGATCCTGAAAGCAGTTCTGTTGCTCAGCCGGATATTTATATATTCATTTGTCAAGGATTTTGTTATTCTGATTATAGAGTGGGATTTTCTTTGTTTCCTTTTATTTTTGTTTTGGGAGGCTTTTTAAATTTTTTATTTTGACTTTTTTAGGGATGAAAACAGAGATCTAGTATTTTAGATTTATGTGGCTTTTTTTCCTAGACTTTTTCCACCCCTTTTATTGTTCAGTTGTATGCATTAATTTTAGAATGTTTGAAAGTGCCCAACAAATTTTTATACAGCTGTGGTGTGTTTCGATAAACAGAAATTTTTAATGTAATGGGAAACCGATAAAGCAAATGAGGAAACTTGGCAACTATATCATCCAGAATGGATTCTTACAGTACTTATTTGGCATCTGTCAAACTCAGTGGCTCATGGTTGGAAGAACAAGATGAGGACATTTATGAGGTTGAATCTCGAGTGCCTTTACCACATCCTTTTCCTCTGTGTGAACATTTGGATGAAAATAACTCAGTAATTATTAATACTTCTATTTTTCATTTTATTCATAAAAGAAATGGGCATGCATTAAAGCTTGTTTCTAAAATTTCACTGCCTACCCCTCCTTACTCAGTAAGTATGGAAAGTATTCATTTAGTTTAAAAACTATGTATAATGAGAAGTGAAATTTTAAGTCTTTAAAGACATTAAGTACGATAGAACCTTGTTTTGTTGTTTTATGTGTTACTACTCGTTTATACTGGAAGTGTTAAGGCCTAAGTTTGGTTTAAGAGACTCAAAGTTGGCTACATTTTAATTCCAGAAAGAACAAGATAATATTACATTTCTCCAGTGCCAGGAAAACTGTTTAAAAACGTCCTGCTCGTCCTTTAAGAGTCTTGCTTTTGTATGCTTATAATGCCGATCCTGCATAAAAACAGGATGATTGTATTTGAGACAGTAGGGATTGTGTTATCTAAAACAAATAAATGAATTGTCATCGAGCCAATTAGGAAATGTTTACAATCATATGACATGTTAGCTGTAGTTCCAGACAAGAAAAAAGGAAACTTAGATTCTGATTTTCTTATTAACATCTTCAGGAACTTATTTTCTATGTTTAATGTGTTTACTAGTCCTGTGAGAAATGGCTTTTCTTGCCTTTTATGTGAAATGTATTGTGTAAACATTGTTAAGAGTGATTAGCATAAAGAATATTTAGTGTTTCAGGTTTGTTGTGTTGTGAATGATTCACTACAAGTTATTCAGCACTTTTATGACTTTCATGACTTTATGCTATATTAGCTAATATTTAACAAGCCAGTTGGTTTTCAGAATAGTTTCATTGCCTCTTGTACAAGTTTTTTTTTTATTAAAGTGACAGAATAGTCACTTATGCTTTGCATATACTTTTAATATAATGGTGTTTTTTAACTATATTGAAAATACCAAATACAAAAATTTTATATACTTTATATTCTTACAGATGTTAGAAATAAACCATACCCTAATTGGATGGAAAACTTTTGTTTTTTGTTTTTTAAGTATAAAGTATTTAGAAGAGCATTTGAAGGGGTTTTTTGTATCCTGATTAAGTGTGGATTCCATCTGCTATAATAAGTGAAATTTGTTTACTAGATTTACTATATTTGACTACTTCAACTTTCTTTTGTTTTCTAAATCTCTGGTTTTATTGTAAATATTTAAATGCACTGTAAGACTGGTTTAGATCTTGTCAAGAACTATTACACAGATTAAAAAATTATTGACCTAAAGGAAGTATTTATTTTATTGTAAGTACTTTGTTGTATTTCTACAATAAATTTCAAAAAGGGAAAAAAATATATTCAAAGTTACAGTTTTGTATTCTTAGATATTTCATGTATTACTAGGCCACCATTGTATAATGTACAGATAAAGTTATATATATATATATATATATATATATATATGTAGAAGCAGTTGAGATATACTAAAAATATGTTGTGACTGTAAATTCAAAAGATTAATTTTAAACAAATTAGTTCATACTTTATGGTCATGTTTCTTTACCATAAAAAGTAATTTATAGTAGTTCCAGTTACAGGAAAATTATTCTTTGCCTGTTAAAACTTGAAGTATTTATAAAGTTTAACCCTTTTTGAAATAACAGCATATTATCACTGATATTTTACAAAATAATTTGTGACTTGAAATTTTTCTAATTTTCCATTATGAGTCTTAATTATGAGTCTTATGTGTAGTTATATTATTTTCAAATAGTAATTTATAAGTGATATTTAAAGTGTGCTATTAAAAAAAATTATGTACTGAATATTTTAGAAACTAATTATAATACATTACTGATGACTGATTAGAAACTACTGTGTTTGATCATATTTTAGTCTTATAACTTGGTAATAATATCTTTCTGATATCCAAAGTACTTCATATAAATTTACAAATTCTTATGGCATTGCAATGAGCCTATTTTTAATATATATATATATTATTATAATTTCTTAAAAAAATTTTTTTGGACTAAGAACTAGAAACATTTGAGCTCAATATTTTTGCATGTGTTCTAGGTAAGCAGGCCTTGGTAGTCAGAAGCCCAGAAAGCTAGGGCAGAGATGGTGATTTCTATAATTTCATATCACTGATTCAGTAACAGTGGTCCAATTATCTCCCAAATAAGAGCTTTGACCTTGAGTCTGTGACTGCTATGTTCAAAATTATAGTCAGTATGTGCCAGTGACACCATTTTAAAGAGTTAAAGTCTTCATATTCTGAGATTTTTAAAATAAACAGAATATTCATAGAATCTTTAGATGTTTTACAAATGGACAGAAATACAAAGCTTTTGGTTAAAACATATATTTTATTAGTGTAATAATATCATTTAATTGTGCCATATGATTTTCTTAATTGCTGTCATTATATTAATCATGTATTATTAGTCCCCCACTGGATATAGCATATACTATAGGGGTCACAGTCAATAAATGTAAAGGAAATAAAGTTTATCTTAGACCACATAGTTATATAAAATTATTTAGTACATACAACTAGAGCCTGTACCTTATTAACTTTATATCTCCATTTGTATGATTGAGTACACATCCATTATTTAAAGTGTTTTAGTTCCAAAAGAAGCATGATCTTTTGTTCATTAAAATCAGAATACATCTCTTAGGAGTGGTACATAGCTAATCTGCTTGTCTACTCTGACTTATTCTACATGCTAATGTCAGCATGCAATAGAAATATTTAAATGACTACATCAATAGAATATCTTTATATAAAAATCTTTTCCTTTTTTTATTTGACTACATCAATAGTATATCTTTATATAAAAATCTTTTCCTTTTTTTAAGCTTTATTGAGAAATCTCACTGGTATTCCCACTAGTGTTTACCTTCTTTCATTAATTCTTTCTCTCTTTGTTTAGCTCGAACATGCGAAAGTTACACAGACGGAGTTGATGCGTGAGTCATTTAGACAGAAACAAGAGGCTACTGAATCTCTTAAATGCCAGGAAGAATTACGAGAGCGCCTTCATGAGGAGAGCCGAGCCAGAGAACAACTGGCTGTGGAGCTCAGTAAGGCTGAGGGTGAGCACCCTACCTTTGGCAACTGAGGAGGGAGAGGTTTTATCTTACAGTAGAGATTATGATGTACAGCCGGGTTTGGGAAACACCAGGCTCTTAGAGTGATTATTAAGAAGTAGTTGTAGGTTGTCTCCAAAGTTCCCACAAGCAATATTAAAATCACATGTAATTTTAGTTATAACAAGAATTATACAATTACAGAAAAAATTGAAATCTTAGAAAATGCAGAAATGGATGGTGGTGAGACATCATTACCATAAACCCATCATCCTAAGACAGCTTTTGTTTCTTAAAATATAAAGAAACTGAAGCTAAAAATATGTCATTAATTTGTTCAAGGTCACCTCTAAATGGTGACTGCAGGCTTTTAAACCTTTATAGGCCCATGCTTTTTCTGTTCTCCCATGCTACTGTAGATATTGGCCTTAAAAAAAAAAACAAAAAAACTTAATATATCAACCTTCTCTAGTATATTTAAAGTGTGATTCAGTTCATAAACATTTGATTTATATTAACTGTCCAGGAACCTATCTATCTATATCCGTTAAAAAAAGGGAGTTCGACAGTTTGTATTTATACACAATGGTAAATGAGAGAAAGACTTCATTAAACATCATATTAAAGGTTTAGTTGCTGCTATCAGCAACAAATTCATTCAAGACTTAATAGGTTGGAATGATTCAAGTTTCACTAAGAATACACCTTTTATTGTTTCTATTAAAACTTGATGGTAAAATTCTAAATGAATAGTGATTCTGTTCCCCCTCAATTTTGTCTTATAGGTGTCATTGATGGTTATGCAGATGAGAAGACTCTTTTTGAAAGGCAAATTCAGGAGAAAACTGATGTTATAGATCGTCTTGAGCAGGAGTTGTTATGTGCAGGTAATAGATTGCAAGAATTAGAAGCAGAACGACAGCAGATCCAAGAAGAAAGAGAATTACTCTCCAGACAGAAGGAGGCTATGAAAGCAGAGGCAGGCCCAGTCGAACAACGTATGTTTTTTCAGACTTTGTATGAAACATTCTCCTAAGTTTATTTATATTCTTTAAAAGTTCAAGGTGTAGTATATTTTTTTTCCTCCTTCAGCACCATTATTCATGGGTCTTACAGAGGGACTTGATAAATGAAAAATTTGCCTTCTATGTAACTGTCTTATTAGCCAACCATGTGGAATCAGAAGTTTTTGTCTTTTTTCCTTTGGCAAATGTTAATGAAAAAAGATAGTTCTACATTTTCCTTAAAATTTAGCCTCAAGAGAAAGTTGCAAATAATGAGGCAGAATATTTTAAAACTTGTGTAAGGTTTAGTTCTCTTAGTAGCCCAGAGACAGCAAAACTGTATAGTTAAATAAATAAAGCACTGATCTAGCACTAGTAATAATCACGTATAGGGGATTTTGGCCTATGAGCAGAAAAGATTGTAAAGGTCAGTGGCTGTTAGGAACAAGCTGACATCTAGTTTTAAGTAGGATTTCAAAGAATATATAAATTTATTAGAACCTTTCATTTTTCCTTGAATGAGAAATTAAGTAACATCTCAAAATAAAAGTTTACTTAGTGGTACAGGTCAATTTTTGCAATAATGAAATTTTAAATCCTCTTTACTAAGTTCTTTTACTTGTATATCTCAAGTTATAAATGTGTAGTTTCACTTATATCGTCATCAATTTGGAAATATAGCAAACATTTTTGGAATATAGTGAAGCTTTTTATTGTTGCTTAAATTAACACAAGTATAGAGTTGGAATATTTTTTAAATTTCTTCTTTACATTAATTGTTACACATCTTCATGGGGTATAATGTGGATTTTTAAAACATGCATGCAGTGTGCAATGATCAAATCAAGGATAACACCATCATTTTCGACAAATGCCACTACATTATGATGTGTACCATTAATTTTTGCTCTACTAGTTTTTTCTTTTTCTTTTATATATATATATATGTATACATGTATGTATGTATGTATGTATGTATGTATATGTATGAAAGATTGGCATGTCTGTTTTTTTCAATTAGAAATTTTTAGTGTAGAAAGAATACATGTCATAGGCATAATATATTCAAGAAATAACGGAACTTCTCAAAATATTACCAGTGATAAACAAACCTTTGCTTCTGACACGTGTGCACATGTGCCCTCGTGTATGCATTATCCTGTTTTAGGAAATAGAAGACATATAAATTATATTTTTGTTCTTTGTGTTTTGTTTTTTACTATTTTCTTAGGACTAGTAGATGCTGCAGATGATGCAGCACCGGGAACAGGTGTGTGTATACAATTGCATGGCCGATCTTTGGGTGGTAAACTTAAACTTCAAATTTGGGTGACTCTTGAATTATTAACCAACTAACATATCTGATTTTGCAGTTTTGCTGTGGTGTTTTATACTCATAGTTTTTCTCTTTAACAACAAAAACACTTTTCTTGCAATGAAAGTACATACTTTTATTTGAAATTAACAACTAGTGGCCATCATCTTATTATATATCTATTTTTGTACACCACTTAGAAGCATTTTGATTTTTTAAAGAAAATGTTGAGTTTTTTAAAAAATCTTTCAACAAATACATTAAATTCATTAGTCTATAATTTCTAAGTCATAAAGTATAATATATAAGGTGATGGTTGCAACATGATTAGTGAAGTTTAGTAAGAGGCTAGCTGGTTGTATTTCTTTTATATTATCATCTAATATCAATACTGTTTAAAAGGACAGGTTTCTGTAGATTTTTAGTCCTGAGTACGGTGTTGGCATACCAGTTAATATACTCTAGGGCTATGTTCTTTCCACTTTAGTAATTAGAGAATTGTTTTACTTTTGCTGTATATTTATTCTTGCATTAACAATACTACTAATAATAACTGACACCTACTTAGTGCTGAAAACAGGTACTGTTCTCTACGTAGATTACATCATTCAATCCCAAAGTAACTTTTTTGTGTGTGGGTTTTTACCTTAAGGTGCATGTACTAGCCAGAGAGAGAGAGAGATAGTGAGAGAGAAAATGAGAAATCACCCCTTTGGGGGGATGGCCACACCACAATCCCATTTCCTCTATTCTCCTCTTAGAATCTTGGGCATACAGGCGCACACACCTGGCATGAGTTGCAAGCCACCAGGTCCAGGACTTGAACTGTGGTCAGCATGTGGGAGTCCAGTGACATAACTCCTACACCATTTGCTCAGCTCCTACAAAATACTCTTAAGAGATCGGTGATATTATTATCCTCAATTTACATAAAAGAAAATTGAAGGATATGTATTAAGTCTCACATAGATGATCAAGGGCAGAGTTAGAATTTAGCCTCCAGTGTACTCTTAGACACTATACCACTCTGCCTTTCATTACTATTTATTACTTTACTTTAAGAATTATTTATTTAATTTTATTTATTATTTTAAAATTTGCTATAGGGCATGCACACTCACCAGAGAGAGAGAGAGAGACAAAGAGCGAGAGAAAGGGAAAGTAAGAAAGCAAACCACCAGGCTCAGGACTTAGTGCCCCAACTACAATGCCACTTGCCAGCCCCAATGTGTATTTATTCTTGATGCACATATAAGGGACTTCAAAAAGTTCGTGAAAAATGGTATTTTAAAATATTAACATCACTTTGAAAGGGCAGCAGGTGGCATAGTGGTTGAGGTGCTGAACCTCTCAGATAGCAGACCGCGGTTTGATTCCCAAATGTGGCAACTCACTTTCTCACTTCCCTCTCTCTCTCCATGACAATAGCTGGTCAGGTTGGGACCAGCAGATGGCATAATGGTTACATCATTGGACCCCCATTTAGTCAACCTTGGTTCGAGTCCTGGAACAGGACTTAAACTCAGACTGGGCACGTGTGCATGTGTGCCCAAGATCCAGAGAGGAGAATGGAGGAGAACGGATAGCAGTGTGACCATCCTCCCTGGGGGTGATTGCTTCCTTTCCATCTCTCTGTCTCTCTCTGTCTTTCTGGTGGATGCACATGCCTATAGCAAAAACCTTTCTTTTAAAAAAAAAAATCTAGTCAGGTTAAAAAATAATAATAAATTTGAAAAATATTTTTTAAAAATTACGTTGAAGATAATTTTGTAAGCAATGATACCAGTCATTTAGTCTATCCCTGAAGAACTGAGAGTTTTGAGAGTTTAACCATGTCAGTGCAGCAATTTTTTACATTATTTACTGAAGAAATATATGCCCTTTAAAAGAATTTTTTTTTTTTTCATATTTGAAGACAAAAAAGTCAGAAGGAACAAATCAGGACTGTAAAGTGAATTCTTAATGATTTCCCATTGAACTCTCATAATTGCTGCTGTTTGGTGAGAGGAATGAGTAGCAGCATTGCGGTGGCAGTTTTCCAGGTGTTTTTTGCTTGAAGCTTCAACTAACTTCCTCTAAATGATCTCATTATAAGCAAATTATTATGTTTTTCTTTGGCCCTTCAGAAAGTCAATAAAAGCAAAATACCTTGAGCATCTAAAATCTGTTGCCATGACCTTTGCCCTTGACCAATCTTTTTTTGCTTTGATGGATCACTTCTGCCTCTTGGTAACCATTACTTTGATTTTGCTTTGTCTTCAGGATTATGCTGGTAAACACATGTGTCATCTTTGACATGATTTAAGATCTTGATCCCACTTACTTGAAATTTTCATAGAGACTTCTGCTCTTGCCCACAGCTGATCTAGGTGTAATAGTTTTGGCACCCATTAAGCAAAAAAGGTTGCTCGGGACCAGCAGTTAGCATAATGGCTATGTCGCTGGACTCCCATGTAGTCAACCACGGTTTGAGTCCCGGACCCGGTGGCTTAAACTCACGCCGGGTGCGTGTGGGTGCGTGCCCAAGATCCCCAGAGGAGAATGGAGGAGAAGGAATTGAGGCGTGGCCAGCCCCCGGGGGGTGATTTCTCGCTTTCTGTCTCTCTATCTCTGTCTATCTGGCGCGCGCACACGCCCTATAGCAAATAAAAATCTTTCCAAAAAAAAAGGCAAAATGGTTGCCCAGCTTTAATTTTTCAGTCAGAATCATGCAAGCTAAACCAGTTGAGATGTCTGGTGTTGGCTGCTGTTTCTGTTGTTAATCTTCAATTAGATCATGAACAAGATTAATTTTTTTCCTCACAGATTGATAAAAATGATCTGCTGTGGTCATAATCTCCAACATTGTCTTAATCCTTTCTTAAAATGGGTCACTCATTGGGACCAGCAGATGGCATACTGGTTACGGCGTAGGACTCTCATGTAATTGACCACAGTTCGAGGGCCAGACCTGGCGGCTTAAAATTCAAGCCAGGTGTGTGTGTATATGCACCCAAAATCTCAAGAGGAGAATGGAGAGGAAGGGATTGTGGCGTGGCCATGCCCTCTGGGGGGAGTGATTTCTCGCTTTCTCTCTCTGTTTCTACCTCTAGCGAGCTTACACGCCATATAGCGAAAAGAAACTCTTTTTAAAAAATTGTAAATTGCTCATTTCTTTGGGGCATTGTCCTCATAAGCTTTCTGTAAATCATTGTTTTCACCATTCCTCTACCCAAGCTTCTCTATAAATTTGATATGTATTTTTGCTTCAGTTTTAGCAGACTTCATGTTGCTTTAACAGAGGCTCTTTTAAAACTGATGTCTTGTCTTTCTTAGTGCTTTAAATTAGATCCTGTTCAGACTGTTACAACAGATTAGTATGAGATTATTTTGAGTGCAGAAAATCTTTTTTTTTTTTTTTTTGGAGAGGTTTTCGCTATAGAGCGTGGGCACTCGCCAGACAGAGACAGAAAATGAGAGATCGCCCCCCAGAGGGGATGGCCACGCCGCAGTCCCTTCTCCTCCATTCTCCTCTCGGGATCTTGGGTATGCACGCACATGTGCCCCACATGAGTTTTAAGCCCCCGGGTCCGGGACACGAACCGCGGTCGACTACATGGGAGTCCAGCGACACAGCCATTACACTAACTACTGGTCCCCAAAATCTTTTAAATTCTTGTGTAAATTTTTATAATATCTACTTTCCATGAGCTTTTTGAATACCCCTCTAATATGTGATTATAAAAAAGCAATTCAGGAATATGGTTCTAATAAGTAGTAAGACTAACAGGAAATTCTAATTATAGTTTTATTTCTTTTCCTGTAACTAACTTGTGCTGGTTAAAGATTTATAGGATTTGATCTTAATATGTGTTGTGTATGCATATAAAAATGACTTTATGGGCTTGGACTGAAATGATTTTTTTTTTTTGCCTGAGGGTATGAAATGGTGAGACTTTTCTATGCTTGAATTTAATTGGACTTGGTTCTTTTTCAAATAATGAAATCAGATTTTTTTGGTCATTTGCTATGTTATTTTCACAAAAAGTGACAGGGCATGTTCTTTTGTGTTAATTCTATGTAATTTTATTAATATTAGTTTTATAACTTATATTAAGATATATTATGATATTTTGATATTTTTATAAGAAAATATTTACCTTTTATCTGTTTAAAATACTTTTCAGTCTTATTTCATGAAGGTGAAATTTGAACCTATTATAGGCTATTTAATTGTCATAACATCATCAATTGTAATTTAACTCAGTATACTTTTTGTATTTATAAACAGAATTACTACAGGAGACAGAAAAATTAATGAAGGAAAAACTAGAAGTACAGTGTCAAGCTGAAAAAGTGCGTGATGACCTTCAAAAACAAGTGAAAGCTCTAGAAATAGATGTTGAGGAACAAGTCAGTAGGTTTATAGAGCTGGAACAAGAAAAAAATGCTGAACTAATGGATTTAAGACAGCAAAACCAAGCACTGGAAAAACAGCTAGAAAAAATGAGAAAATTTTTAGATGTGAGTACATTCAGCTTGAATATTGGTTTTCTTTTTACAGTGGAATGCTACTTGCTACTGTTCTAGGCTGTGAATTTTAAATTTTGAAGAGACTCTTGAATTAAGATTTTCGACTGTATATTCTACAAATTGATCCAAAAGTACTATTTTATTAGAAAATTCTAATAATTTTAATTGTGCAACAGGCAGAATTAAGAGCAGTACCGCCCAGTTATGAATAAGCCCTGCCGCCTAACGTTTCCAGATTCAGAGTTATAAGCTTATCCTAGTCTTTCATTTAACCAATAGCCAAAACAGGTGAGGATCCTAAGTGCTAACTGACCACCATTGCTTCACTGTCAGAAGGTAACACATGGAACCATGGCTCATAGAAACAGGACTAGAACAGTTGTCATGCTTGCCATCACTCTCTTTCAAAAAACTTTTCAGTCTCTAATTTCACATGGATTTTCTTTGGGATTTTATTTAAGCCTGATATTCTCTTCACAGATGAGAGAATCTAATTCTTACATGTTTTATGTTAGATTAGGATTAAAGAAACTGATTTAGAATTTGATTCCACTTATTTTGTTTAATGAATAAATTAACAATGGAGTTCTTTTTCATTTTGAAATGGTGAATTCACTTTAAGTGTTTTTTTTTTTCATTCTGAATTTAATATTAGTTGAATAAAAAAGAAATGAACTTTAAATATTTAACTACCCTTTTTTGTTGAAGAGCTCAAACAGGTTATATTTGATACAGAAAAATGTTATCTTTTTAAATCTTCATGGTTTAGGTTATTTTGTGCTCATCAGTCCTTTGTCTTCAAACAAAATTAGTCTGTAATTAAAGGAAAGTATGAAAAATAATGGCTTTAATAGGTACTGCTTCTTCATTGGCTTCTTATCATTAACCTTTAGGAACAAGCCATTGATAGAGAACACGAGAGAGATGTATTCCAACAAGAAATACAGAAACTTGAACAGCAGCTTAAGGTTGTACCTCGATTCCAGCCCATTAGTGAACATCAAACTAGGGAGGTAAGAACTTTACTAATATTGCCTACCTTCTAGTAATTTATATCTTGAATATAAATAAGATGCATATCATGAAAAACTTAAAAGTGCATTCTTTCTATTGTATGCAAATCTTCAAAGTCATGAAATTGAGTATTACTTAATCATTAGAAGCTCATAACCTTAAAAATTGTTTGTATCAGATATCAAAATCATTCTCATGTGCATGTCTTCTATTGGGCTGTCAGAAAAGTCGTGACACATTTTTGCATAGAAAGATGCATCAAGACTTTTTTTTTTTAAGAATAATTTAACTTAATTTTATTTATTTTTACCTTTTTTTTAGAGAGAGGGGACGTGAGAAAACAAGCCACCAGGTCTGGTACCTGCAGTTGACCATGTAGGAGTCCAGTACCTTAACCACCACAACACCTGCTGGCCCCCCTCGTGACTTTTCTGATGACCCACTAATATTGCCCAGTTAAACTTCCCTGCTTGTTTCTCTTTATCTATTGCCATTCCCCAAAGAATTAGTTATAAATACTATCTGTATTCACTCTTTACTGTTTTCCATTCTCCTTTCAGTCCACTCTGGTGAAATTTCCAACCCCTATATCTCAGTGTGGTTTTAAATTTATATTGTTCTTGTAAAGGATACCTAGAGCCTCTTGGGTATATCCAATAATCACCTCTGGCTTCATTCTACTCAGCCATTCAGAGGCATTCGGTGCAGCCTTCTTCTAGAAACATTCTTTGCTTGTCTTCTGTGATACATCTGCTTCACTGATCTCCTCTAGTCTTTGTTTCTCTTTTAGTTACCCAAAATAAATGATAGAGCATCCTAAGACTTCCAATATTCTTTCCTAGACAGTCATATAAATGAATCTACATTTGTCATACACTTGCACTGCAGACTTGAATGTTCAGCGGTCTTTCTCCACACTCCGATATCTCAAATTAATATGTCCAAAAGAGGACTCTTGATTCCTGGTTAGTCCCTACCAGAGAAAAGAAGAACGCATGTTTCTGTTTTGTCTCAGGAAATTCTATACCTTCTACACCTTCCTTATTGCTAAGACCTAGAATTCATCCTTGATTCCCTTTGTTTTCAAAATCCCTACCTTCACTTCTTTGGTGGATCAGATTGTACTGTGTCTTTCTGTTCTTTCCACCTTTATTCATCTTTCTAAATTGTAGTAGTCATTGTTGGCCTGGATGATTGTGGCGGCCTCCCAATCTGTCTCCCAGCTTCTACTTATACACCCCAAACTGTCCATTTTCCTAGAATAGAAACATAGACAGAAGTCCGTATTTACCAAATGAATGCTGCATGAATGAAGGAAAATTCACTGTATAAATCCCTGTGGTGATAACGCCATTGTAAGGTAATCCCAGTTTGGATCATGACTCTGCAATTTACTAGGTCTGTGACAATGACCAGGTTATTTAGCCTCTCAAACTTGTTTATTCATTTCTGAAGTAGAGATTATAATAGCATCGACCTCATAGGCATAGTCACCTGGCACATAGCAAACACATCAATTTAACTGGCATTATTTCTTTAAATAATTTTTACTTTAAAAAATTGGTTATTACTTATCATTTCTATGCAGTTTACTGTATTCATTTCTATTGAAAGAGTTAGAAAGATGGGACCAGTTAATGGTGTAATGGTTATGTTGCTGTACTCCACATAATTGACCAGGGTTTAAGTCCCAGATCTGGCAGCTTAAAACTCACACTAGGCATGTGTGCACACATGCCCAAAATTGTAAGAGGAAAATGGAGGAGAAGGGATTGCAGCGTGGCCATCTCCTCTGGGGGGATGATTTTTCACTTTCTGTTTCTCTGTCTCTCTGTGAGTGCACAGACATTATAGCAAAAATACTACCCCTCCCCCCAAAAAAAAGTTAGAAAGAAATATAAATGTCTATAACCTCATCGTGATAAAATGTTACTAAAATTGGGGTCAACAGGTGGCATGGGGGTTAAGGTGCTGGACTCCCACATGGATCCCCACAGTTTGAGTCCCAGACCTGGCAGCTTGAAAATCACACCAGGTGTGTGCATGCACATGCATGCCCAAAATCCTGAGAGGAGAATAGAGGGAAAGGGATTATGGCATGGCCAACTTCCATGGGGGCATTATTTTTCACTTTCCCTCTCTTTGTCCCTCTTCAGCAAACTCATGTGCCCTTTGGCAAAAACTTTACTAAACGAAGTTGTTTTAAATGTTATTGTATCTAAGTCATCGGGAAAGTCATGTTTTTCTATGCATTAGTAATGTCATGACTTTCCTGACAACCCAGTACTATAGCAGTAGGAAATTTAGCAATCTCTTATCAATATCTCCATATTATTTTTTCTGTTAAAAATAGTTTCAGCTTTTGTTTTGTTTTGTTTTGTTTTGAGAGGTTTTCGCTATAGGGCGTGTGCGCTCGCCAGACAGACAGAGAGAGACATAGAGACAGAAAGCGAGAAATCATTCCCCAGGGGGGATGGTCACGCCGCAGTCCCTTCTCCTCCGTTCTCCTCTCGGGATCTTGGGCACGCACGCACTCGCACCCGGCATGAGTTTAAGCCACCGGTCCGGGACGCGAACCGCGGTCGACTACGTGGGAATCCAGCGACATAGCCATTACAGTAACTGCTGGTTCCCAAAATAGTTTCAACTTTTGAAAAGTATTTATTGAAACCAAAAGAATATTTAAGCTGTAGAGCTTAGACTTTTGTTTTCTGTCCTATAGCTTTCTTCTATTTGCAAAAGTTGATGTGATTTATTTATGAAGCTAACAAGGATGTACTTGTTTAATTTTCCCAGAAACATTAAGATCATTTGTGGTCCTTACCTTACCAGACCTGATTCCTACTTTCTGATTTTTTTAAGATTAAAAAAATCTAACTGTAATTGATATTATGCCATTTCTTTTTTAAAAAGAATTATTTTATTTAAATTTATTCATTGTTATTATTTTAGTTTTTTATTTTTTTGAAGTTGACCATAGAGAGAGAAGGAAAGTGAGAAAGCAGGCCATCAGATCCAGGACTTGAACCACAGTCATGTGGGAGTTAACTGCCTTAACCACCACGCCACCTGCTAGCCCCAGTATTATACCATTTCATTGTGCCTGCTTTATTGTCTTTTTTTTCTTTTTTAATTGCCAGAGGGAATGTGTGTCCATCAGAGAAAGATAGGGGATAAGAAGGTGAAAGTACCCTCAAATGGAGCGTGATCACACCCCATTCCCTACTGCATTTTTCTATCCTGTCAGAATTTGGGGCACACATACTATGTGCCCAATGAGTTTTTCAAGCCACTGGAGCCAAGACCCAAACCATCATCAGCTTATAGAATACAGCTTCCTTAATTGCTAGGGTAGAAGATTGGTCCTTTTACCTTTTTACTTGACCTTACGCCAAATCTTAGTCAACCTTCTATTGTCAAAGCTTTTTTCCCAGTGACTTTATTACTGTCATTCTTAAACCTGGAATCATACTTAAGCTTGCATTTTTTTTTTTTTTTACTGTTCTGAGGAAAAATGGTCATTTTTAGATAATTTCCCCAAAGTAGTTCACTGAAATGAACTTCATTTTTTCCCCCTCCTTCCTTCCTTTATTTATTGACTATCTGTAAGCTTTCTATTCTCACTTGATCAGGACTAATTTTATAAACTATTTTGTTATTACCATCTTCTTCTATAACAGAGCATTCACCTAAAGGGACCTGCTTGTCAGTCTTAGGGAATACATCTGAGGGCACTTCATCATTTGTTTTAGGTAGAGAAGAAACTAAGATTAGAGACATTCTGGGCAACTTGAAGGTATGCAGATCCCTCACTATACTATATGCTCATCTCAGTTCTGGGGGTGATAGACGGTGTTGGTTTAAAAGCTTTCAAGGGCCTAGCAGTTAGCGTAATGGCTATGTCGCTGGACTCCCACATAGTCGACCGCGGTACGCGTCCCGGACCCGGTGGCTTAAAACTCACGCCGGGCGCGTGTGCGTGCGTGCCCAAGATCCCGAGAGGAGAATGGAGGAGAAGGGATTGTGGCGTGGCCATCCCCCCTGGGGGGGATGATTTCTCACTTTCTGTCTCTCTATCTCTCTCTCTCTGTCTGGCGAGCGCATGCGCCCTATAGCAAAAAAAAAAAAAAAAAAACCTCCAAAAGAAGGAAAAGAAAAAAAAGAATCAGAAATATAAATGCCTAGGGAACCAGCAGTTAGCATAATGGCTATGTCGCTGGACTCCCACATAGTCGACCGCGGTACGCGTCCCGGACCCAGTGGCTTAAAACTCACGCCGGGCGCGTGTGCGTGCGTGCCCAAGATCCCGAGAGGAGAATGGAGGAGAAGGGATTGCGGCATGACCATCCCCCCCGGGGGGTGATTTCTCGCTTTCTGTCTCTATGTCTCTGTCTGTCTGGCGAGTGCATACGCCCTATAGTGAAAAACCTCTCGAAAAAAAAAAGAAATATAAATGCCTATAAACTTATTGTGATAAAATGTTGTTATTCCAAATGCAGGTTTTTTTCCCTTCTTGTAGGCTTAAGAAAGTCTTAATTTTGAGAAAAACAACTATTTTTTAAAGGATTGAGTGAAAGTATTTTTTCTTTTTTACTAGTGCTGCTTAGTTTTACCAACTTAGGAAATGTCACTTGGAGACAGTAGTTGCTCTTTTTATCAAAAATCATATTAGCATAGCATTTAAAAAGGCTTTTTAAATGAAGGTGGATATTCATTGGATGGTAAGTTTTATAGTTATATGAGCTTGTTGAAATTTTATTAATTATGTTTTTGGCTGATTATATTTCAGGTTGAACAGTTAACCAATCATCTGAAAGAAAAAACAGACAAGTGCAGTGAGCTCTTGCTTTCCAAAGAACAGCTACAGAGGGATATACAAGAGCGGAATGAAGAAATTGAGAAATTAGAGTTCAGAGTAAGGGAACTAGAGCAAGCCTTACTTGTTAGTACGGACACTTTTCAAAAGGTACAACATTTTATTTGATTTGGCTTTATCAATGTTTTAATAAAGATTAACCTTGGTTACACAAACATCAGTTCTATTAAATAAAAATTGCTATGACTTCTTGTTATTATCAGATAATATATGTGTCTTGTTGACATCATAACCATTTGTTTATTCCTATTTCCAAATGTTTGCTTACCTTACTCTTGAGAAAGGAAGATTAGTTAAACCAGATGAATTAATTATCCTTAAACTACCGGTAATATTATAGTTGAGTGAAAAATGGACACCAGTGGCTGGCAGTTTACCCCAAACTAGGAAATAATGAAATACCTCCCCATTTTACTGCAGATAGCAAAAATTAAAAGAACAGCAGCGTAAGTAAGTTTGGGAAGGACACAAATGGGGGATTTCTTTATCTAAGGAGTGGATTTTAAGTTTCAGAAATTCCAGTATGAATTTATGAAAAATATATTCAAAACTAAAGTAATATATGTAACTTTCTGATTCTTCAGTAATGTAGGTTTTTCACTTCTAATTTGAAAAATAGAATTGCTGCATCTCCAAAGAAAATGGATAATTAGGATTTAATGTATGAAATTTTGAAAACAATTTCCTATTTTGAAAGGTTGAGGATCGAAAACAGTTTGGAGCTGTAGAAGCTAAAACAGAATTGTCCCTAGAAGTTCAACTGCAGGCTGAGCGAGATGCCATAGACAGAAAGGAAAAAGAGGTAAGGAAATTATTTTTTTAATGACAGAATGTGTTTTGAAGTATTTTAGATCATTTAACTTACTGGAGCAGAATGGAGTTTATGTTCTAAAACCAAGGTTTAGACAGTTTTTCAGCTCAGTACCCAAGTTGACTTTGAAGGCCATAAAACATGTGAACAAATAAGCTTATACAGAGAAGAATATTCCAGGGAGAAGCAGAAAGAAGTTTAGAAAGACAAAATGAAGGTCAATTTACTCGTTACGAATTGAGTAAGAACTGAGTGAAGAGGAGAGTAGCGAGATATACCGTGTTATGGCAGAAGGCAGTGTCTTTCTTTTCCCCTACCACATCAGGGTCATTGAATTATTGCTGCTTTCCTACAGCGTTGCTTTCCTGCAGGGTTGTGTTTTCTTTGTTTGTTCGTTTGTTTTTTAAAGCTATATTATCCTGGGAGATTACAGTGCTGTTTTATAATGTATGAAACAGTATTCTTAAAACAAAAGATTAGTAGTAAAGTCATTTTATTTAGTTCTGTTTCTCTACTTTTTCTTTTCTCCCAGAAAAGAAATATACTTTCTGGAATAGTAAATTCAGCTTCCTAATTAAATTTTAACTCAAATTTAAGCCTTTCTCTACTAATAGTTTTCCTAAAACATCATATTCTACATTTGTCTATCTGTATCATATCATTTAAAATATTTAAAAATTATATTTTTACCTATTTCCATTTTATTTTTTTAGGATAACTAAAATATTTTAGCAAATATTGATTGAATTTAACCAGTATAAAAGTATTGATAAATGCTTTGAAAATCCAAGAATGATTTAGATATCAACTAAATCATTCAGCTTACAGAACTTAAAATTCAGAAGAGAAAAAAGACATCTCTGTAAATGACTGTAGATGAAATGTCCATTTCCATGAGAGAGATGATTTTCTTACTACCAGATGATATTCACTAATTATTATCTGAGAGGCTAGTGTGTGTGTGTGTGTGTGTGTGTGTGTGTGAGAGAGAGAGAGAGAGAGAAAAGAGAGGCAGGAAAGACTTCTATCTGTATGTTACCACTTCTGTGATTAAAAATGGTTAACATTTAAAAATTCCCCTTAGACTAAACTAAAATACCTGCTTCCTGAAAAGATGAATGTTCAAAACTGGACCAAAAAAAGTGATAGTTGATTAAGCTTACTAAATTTACAGTTTATTTTTTGAATTTAACATAGCACTTCTAAAACCTTAATTTCTTGAATTAAATATCACTTACTGTTTCTACCTTTTATTAAGAATCATAGTTATTTAGAACTATAAGAAACCTTAGATAGTGTCTGTGAATGCATTCCCAGTTTTTGCAGATAAGGAGACAGAAATGTTGAATGAATAATAAGAGTTAACTGACAGTGGACCCTTGTCTGCTAGTTTTTAATAACAGTCTGTCAGCCCATTCACTTTCTAGTAAGTGGAAACTGAGGGGCTTGAATATAGAACTGCGAGAGGGAGAGAAAGATATTTTTGACAAGGTCTCACCATACTGCAATTCTCTTACCTCGACCTCCCAGCTGCCCAGGTTCACAGGTGTACTTACCATATCCACTCTGTTTAGGCTGGGACAGAACTGAAACCAGATCTTCAATTTCACCTCAGCTACCCTACCACTTGTGACACCATGGCTGAGTCCAAAATATTTCTTTTAAGGAAAATAACCTCTTAAGCATTCTATCCTGAAAACTAGGCATCAGGTGCTTGATAAGAGTATACAAACTTAAGCTACCCATATGTGTCATCATATTTGAGATAGTTCCACTATTCTTAGAGCCCAAGGTTGTATAAAACACTTTTTCTTGTGTTCGTTAAGATATTTTAAAATCTAGGATAGATAGGAAAAGAAAACTTCAAAAGAATGGAGTTACAGGCTGCCCATGGCCTGGTAGGTAATTAAGGGAGCTGTATTCCACATTGCTGACGAAGCTGTTCAAATCCTGGCCCTGGTGGCTTGAAAAACATGCCAGGCATGTGTGCATGCGCCCAAAATTCTGACCGGATGGAGAAATGGAAGAGAAGGAATTGTGATGTGACCACATCCTATTGGAAGGTGCTTTCTCCCTTTCCTTTCCTCCTCACCCCCCTGCCTATTTCTGTCTCTTTGTTTGTCTCTGGTGAGCACAGACACCCTCTGGCAAAATTTTAAAAGAAGAGTTTCAAGATTTTAGGATAAGGGCAATAATGTGAAGTGCAATAGAAATATTTGTTTTAGAAAAAAGATGTCTTCAATAGGTTTTAGTTCTAATGGGCCAATGAGTTCTAGCTTACAGACAGCAATCATAAATAACAGTAGTTAATTTTACTAAGGACTGTACCAGAAAGTGCCATTGTAAATGCCTTAGACCATTAATCCTTACACTCCCTAGAGAAAGGCCTATTTTCTTCCATTTTCCATATATGTAAACTGAGTCTTTTTTTTTCTTTTTCTTTTGGAGAGGTTTTTGCTATAGGGTGCATGCGCTCGCCAGACAGACAGAGACAGAGAGACAGAAAGCGACAAATCACCCCCCAGGGGGGATGGCCACGCCACAATCCCCTCTCCCCCATTCTCCTCTCGGGATCTTGGGCACGCACGCACACGCGCCCGGCGTGAGTTTAAGCCACCAGGTCCGGGACTTGAACCGCGGTCGACTACGTGGGAGTCCAGCAACACAGCCATTATGCTAACTGCTGGTTCCTATAAACTGAGTCTTAAGAGAGGTTAAGTAACTTGCTTATGTTCATACACTAAGTGATTAAGCAAGCATTCCTCCCAGAGTTCTCTGATTCTAGACACCTTACGATACTGTATGGGACATGTGTGCCTTGTTGGTGAGAAGTATTAAAGATATCATTCAGTATAATAAAGCTCTTACCATATACCTTATATCACCAGGCAGCTATAAAGCCAGCCCTGAACTTGAAGGATTCTACTGTCTAATTTAGAAGTCAAATACACACTTGAAAGAGATAAAACATGTTTTAAATTTAATTTTATTTATCATTGTTTTTTTTAATTTGCTACAAGGCTCAATGTGCTCACCAGAGAGAGAGAGAGGAAGAGAGTGAGGGAGGTATATTTAGAAAGTAAGCTGCCGGATCAAGGACTTGAACCACGGTTGGCCATGTGGGAGTGCAGCACATTAACCACCTCATCATCTGCTAGCCAGAGATAAAAAACATTTAAAAAAAAGAAAATACAAATAGGAGTGAATTAATGTAAGCCCCAAACAGTCTTCATATCCTTAACAAATTTAAGACAAATAGCTACTAGTCTCTATTTTTAAACCTTGATAATGTTCTTCTAATTATGGGTTATTATAGCCTCAATAATAAGGCTTCTTGAGACCAAAACCGAGTCTGACTGAATGTAGAGGAAAGAATGCTTTGCAGTGTCATTTTGATGATTAAAGTCACTAATATGATACCACAGATTCAGCTACTTATAATGGAAATGTTAGTGCTTAGACCAGTGTAAACATCAGAGTTGAATGTGTGTATGAATCACCTGGGAATCTTGTTAAACTGCATGTCTGGAGTGCCTCATGAGGTTCTGCACATCTGACGTGCTCTTCTGCGATCCCAGTTCTGCTACTCCAGCTACCATGCTGATTAACAAGGTTTTAGACCACAGAACTAAGAATCTACCATACACTGTTACATAAAAAAAGAAAGTAAATGTCACATGAGGTATGGCAGCAATTTTGAACTTAAATAGCTGTGAATATGTTGATTTTGAAATAATAGCTAGTCATCAAAAGTAGTTGTAGAAGATAGGGATAGTTGTAAATACTGTTATCACAGATGACTTTGAAGACATAATCATCACAGTGTTCCACACGCTAACCTGATAATTAACACGCACAACCACTAGATGTACTTCAGTGTCTACTGAGCTTAATATCAGTATTACAGAGAAAATTTTTAAGTGTATGTCTCAGACATTAGTTGTTAGAAGCAGGATAAATGGTAGTCTAGAATGAAAGGCTCCAGAGATAAACTTCCAGGTTCAAAAGCTGACTTCACATATACTAGCTGTATGACCTCCAGGCAAGATGGTCCTTTGCGTAACTCCCTTCTTCCTCTCTAAAATGTGGACAATCATAGAACAGATATGATAGGTGTTACAGGGTTTTTAAAAATAAGACAAAGCACCTCGTTACCACTTAACAGTGAATTATTTATTAAGTGGTGGCAAATATTACTAATACTGATTCTGTTTCTCTTTAAGAAATCTTAGGCTAACCGATTTTTGAAGTCATTCTTTGCCAGTGCCAATATACAATTTCACTAATGTGATGTGTCCAGCCTGTAATTAGCATGTGCCCTTTTCCAGTTTCGAAGACACTGAATGATTCCTAGGCTGCTCTCTGAGCTGGCTGCCAATAAATACTGCTCCTGCCATCGTAGGTTCCTTATTTTCCAGTTTCCTAGAGGGTGCATGTGCTCACTGGAGTTAGACAAGGGGAACCTGATAAAGTACACCCCACATGGGGGACAGTCACATGACAGTCCCTTCTCCTTCTTTTCTACTTTTGGGATTTTTATCCACTCATGTACATGTGCCTATCATATTGTTTCAACCACCAGTCGGCCTTGTAGGATCTAGCCACCACACCAATCCACTGGCTGGCTCTAGGATGTTCTTAGTAGAACAGTTTTGTTCATCAGATAAATATATATTTGGAAATCTACTTATTAAATATTTAGGAGCTATCCTCAGTCAAACCTAATTTTTTAAATATAAAAATGGCAAGTTCTTGGACTGACCACATGGCATAGTGGTTAAGGGAGCTGGGTCCCCCATGGCCGACCATACAGTTCAAGTCCTGGACCCAGTGGTACATACCAGGTGCATATGTGTGTATACCCCACATTCCAACAGAACGGACAGGTGGAAGAGAAGGGATTGTGGCATTACCACACTCCACTGGGGGTGCTTTCTTCCTTTCCTTCTCTCTGTCTCTTTGTCCGTCTCTGGTGAGTGCACACACCCTCTGGCAAATTTTTTAAAATGACAGTAACAAGTTCTTAATAGTCATCATTAGTTTTAGTCTCTCTATTATTATCAAAGACCAGTTATTTTACCATAGTTCATTTTTAAAAATAAGCCAGATTTCTATTGTCTTATCTGTAGGAGCTCTCCAATTTTCTCCTAAAATTATATAATTAACTTACTGTAAGGTTTCTGTAATTCAGAACTAAATCTCTTAGGTCATAGTTGTTGTTTCTGCTTCTGTCTGCTTAAATAAACCAGATGACAGCCACATTTTTAAGTGGGTAATTAGATATGTGTGAACTGAATTGAACTAGTCTTTGTCGTGGCTAAAGTAAGTGCGTAAATTCTACAGCTTCCTTGAGCCTTTTGATGGTAACTAAATTTAACATAAACTAAGGTTTGATAATGTGGACTCTTCCCTTTCCTCTTCTGACTGATTTCTGTTTCATCAGAGCTTATTTTATGTAGGAAAGTTTTTGTTGTATTGTTCCTCAGAAGGTCTCCTCTGATTTGGACAGAATAGTTTAATAGTGTTCAGTTTGCCTGTGTCTAGGAGCTACACAGATACACATGTCCTTGGGAAAAACACTTTTCCTTTATTCTCATAACTCAGTGTTTTAAGCATACTGTTTGTAAAGCTAATACAGTACTCTTTATTCATTAGGTCTTGACAAATATTTGTAAATTTTTTTCCTCTTGATAATTTTGGTATTAAAGATCACAAACTTAGAAGAACAATTAGAGCAGTTTAGAGAAGAACTGGAAAATAAGAATGAAGAAGTTCAGCAACTACATATGCAATTAGAAATACAGAAAAAAGAATCTACTACCCGCTTACAAGAACTTGAACAAGAAAACAAATTATTTAAGGTAATTAGTGTAAAAATTTTTTTGTCTGAAAATAATTCATAATCATGCTTCTGTATAGCTTTATTAAACATTTGCTAACTCTAGTTGCTAAATAATACTTTGTGGGAATATTAGTGGGCAAATGGATTTGCATGGAACTTATTCTCAGCCCAATTTAAAAACTGAAATTAGTCATAAATAAAAAATTTTTGAGATCTTTTATCAAAATATTTTAAGAATGATTGGTTTAATATAACCACATATCTTATTTTTTTAATTTGTATAGTATATATACTATATCTTTTATAAGAGTTAATTGGAAGAATATTCTGAAACAGTTGAATGTATCATTACATGTCATAACGGATGGTTACTTTTTGTCCCTAGGATGAAATGGAGAAACTGGGATTTGCCTTAAAAGAGTCTGGTGCTATTTCTGCTCAGGACCAACATGTGCTGATGGGGAAATTTGCTCAAATAATACAAGAAAAAGAAGTAGAAATTGACCGATTAAATGAGCAAATTACAAAATTTCAGAAACAACTTAACATTACTACAGATAACAAAGTAAACTCACTTAAAATTAGTTATTACCTAAATTAATATGAGCTAGAATTTTAAAGGGCAAAATGATTATAATTTTTAGTCCCTCACTTAATTTTGAAAGCAAATCTTACTTCTCTTTTACTCATTATTTTAATTTGTTAAGATACATTGGTTTAAAAAGCTTTGTGTGGAGCCAGCAGGTGGTATAGTAGTTAAAGGTGCTGGACTCCCACATGGCTGACTCCGGTTTGATTCCTGGTCCTAGTATCTTGCTTCCTCTTTTTCCCTATCTCTCTCTCACTCTGTCCCACTCTGGTCAAATATATATATATATATATATATATGAGAGAGAGAGAGAAATAATTCTTTTTAAAAAATAGTAAAAAAAAAATACACAACAAAATGTGTATTTTTTTCCTCCTAATATTTTCAAAGGGTTTTGTTTTTGTTTTTGGAGAGGTTTTTGCTATAGGGTGCATGTGCTTGCCAGAAAGACAGAGACAGACAGAGGGACAGAAAGTGAAAAATCACCCCCCAGGGGCGATGGCCACGCTGCAGTCCCTTCTCCTTCATTTTCCTCTCGGGATTATGGGCACACACACACGCCCAAAGTGAGTTTAAGCCACTGGGTCCAGGACTCGAACCATGGTCGACTACAGGGAGTCCAGCAACATATCCATTACACCAATTGCTGGTCCCTTGTCAAAGGGTTTTAATCATTTTTAGGAAGGCTCTAAGATTTAGATTTCATCATTTCAGTCTAAATGAATATATTATAAATTATTCTATTGAATACAAGTTAATTAAGGTTACTATTGGGTGCCTTCTGATATAGACATTATTTTAGTACTTTATCCTTTTCAGTAGAATGTATTCATATTGAGTTTTCCTAATAGGAAATTAGCTACTAAAAGCATAAGTCACTTTATACTAATTAAAAATTTTTGAATGAAATTTTAAATAAGGTCCTTATTTGATATTATGGGGGAGGTATTGATGATCTGTATTGAAAATCAAAGTAATATATGTCTGAGAAGCACTGGGTTGTTGGGAAAGTCATGATGCATTTGCATAGAAAAACACAGAAAAATACATAATGACTTTTCCAACACTCCAGTGTACTACTCTTGTGTCTTTAAAGTACTGCCCTAAAATAGAGTAAAGTTTCCCAAATGTAATTACATATTATATGTTACCTTTTTTCATAAACTAATAGGTTGTTGAAGAAAAAAATGAACTGATAAGGGATCTCGAAACTCAAATAGAATGTTTGATGAGTGATCAGGAACGTGTGAAGAGAAGTAGAGATGAAGAAATAGAGCAGCTCAATGAAGTGATTGAAAAACTACAACAGGAATTGGCAAAAATTGATTCAAAGACATCCGTAGACACAAATTCCCTCCCAGAAGAAGCAGACAGTTTAAAACATCAGTTAGATATAGTTATAGCTGAAAAACTGGCTTTGGAACAGCAAGTAGAAACCACTAATGAAGAAATGACCTTCACAAAAAATGCACTTGAAGAAACTAGTTTTAAAATGAATCAGCTCACACAAGAATTATGCAGCTTAAAAAGAGAACGTGAAAATATGGACAAATTCCAAAGTGTGACAGCAAAATGTCTTAACATGGCTGTAGATGATCTGAACAAAGGCACATCTGAACCAGAAGTAGTCCTTACTGAGGATGCTTTTCAGTCTCTAGGAACTCACACTTATCTCAAGTCTTTCGAAGAAAACAAGGAAGTTTCCTTAAGTTGCTTGAAAACAAAGTTGCTACAACTTGAAAACACTGTTAGTGCAAAGGACTTAGAACTTTCCCAGTGTTATAAACAAATAAAAGACATGCAAGAGCAAGGCCAGTCGGAAACAGAAACACTGCAAAAGAAGATTGTAAACCTACAGAGTATACTTGAAGAAAATGTAGCTGCTGCTCTTGTGAGTCAAGTTCAACTTGAAGCAGTTCAGGAATATGTAAAGTTTTGTCAGAATAAACAAGTGAGTTCTTCAGAATCTGAGAGGACAGATAAACAGAATTTAAATCACATAACAGAAAATGAGATGGAGTCAAAGTTGTCAACGTTAACCTTGAGAATATCAGAATTAGAAAGCCAGGTGGTTGAAATGCACACTAGTTTGGTTTTAGAAAAAGAACAAGTAGAAATTGCAGAGAAAAATGCATTGGAAAAAGAAAAGAAGCTACTAGAACTACAGAAGCTTTTGGAGGATTGTGAGAAAAAACAAGAAGGGGAAGAGAGGAAAAATAGCCTTCAAGGGGATTTTGAAGTTTTCAAGGTTAGTTTTATATTCGATTTATTTTCCTTCTCTTAAATGTCCTTAGAAATTATTTGTTCCTTAAGCTGATTGCTAATTTACTAAATTAAATATGGTATTATGTTTGGTTTAGCAATTTATAAATATAAGATTTTGATTTAAAAAATGTTATTAACAGAAGGACTTGAGACTAAGTAAAGTTAACAGCTTATTTGAGCAAAGTACAATTCATGAGTCAGGCAGCACTTAGAACCAGAAGTTTCGGAAAGTTCTGCTGTACAACATGGTCAGTGAGTATAGACACTACTACCAAGTGAAGTACAGAAAGAGCTTGATTGGTTAGAGCTGGACTTTGACTTTACTTGGACATGGTCTAATTAGTTGCTTTGATTGGCTGAGATTTGGCTGTTTCGTTATACTTTTAAGTTAGTTTCAAATTTTTTTTACATACTTGGTTAGGTTTCAGTTTTGTACACAGGAACTCAAGGTACAGAGACACCCTCAGGCCAAATTTAATATAACACCATGTAGTCATTCTTAGTACTAGAATAATGGTTATAAATTATATTTTGTGGTCTTCTAACATGGTATTTATTTCAGTGACATAGTCATTAAATAGAGCAGTCAGAAGAAACTCAGAAACATTACATTCAGCCAGTGTCCTCTAGAACTTATGTAGGTTTTTTTCTCTTAATTTCGCTTTAATACGAATATTATGTTATCACCCCTTTTAACTTATGAATAATACCAAATTTTGTTACATCCTGCTGATTTAGTGGGTAACAAATCATTAACTTTTTCACATTTCATATGTGATATAATAGATATTCTTTTTCAGGAAAATTTTGTATTTGATTGCTAAAAGCTTACTTACGTAAAGCTCTGAAATCACAGTTAATTTTTTAGCATATGACTGACATAACAAGGTTTTTTGTTTGTTTCAAATTCTCACTTTATAAAAGTAATATTGCATAAATAAATGTGGTCTTATCTAAACACCACATGATAACTGACATAACAGGATTTTATAATTATATCATTTATTTTGCAGAGGATAATAATTCTGAGTTTTCCTCTTAGCTTATTGGCACTATAAATTACTATAAGTAATAAAGAAAAATTGAAATGATTTGACTTTCTAGGTATAACTTCTAAGAAATATCTTGGTCGTTGAGAAAAGTGATAAAAATATGAAACACTTCTGAATAGTAACAAAAAATATTTTCATTAATGATTTATAAATTTTTAGGATATATACTAATGACAGATTTACCTTTCATTCCTAGAAATTAACTGTTTTCTTATTGTCTTGTCTCAAGAATATAAAATGATGTTTCTGAAAAAGTTTCCCTAGTTGTTGAGAGAGGATTGATCTTTTCAATAGCTCTTATATGTAGGCAATTCTTTCTGGAAAAGCTTCATTAGAATCTGTAAGTCCTTTGAATTTAGCTATATATATATATATATGTATATATATATATTTCTTAAATAACATGTTTCTTATGTTTTCCCCTCCCATCCAGACAACTACTGAGTTAATTTATACCAGTGAAGAAAGATTTTTTGGTGAACTTGAGGCTCTTAGAACTGAGTTAGCAGCTGCCAAAGAAGAACTTTCAAGTTATAAAGAAAAGGCAGAAAAACTTCAAGAGGAGCTTTTGGTAAGAAGTCTCATAGTGCCTAATTAATTTATTTTTACCTATTTTAATTTCATTTCAAAGTGTATTCTATAAAAACAAATTCAGATCCATAGCTTTAAAGTGAGAAAAAAGTCCTCGGTAGATTTTTTGCCTTTTTCTGAGAGGTTTTTGCTGTAGGGCACATATACTAGCCAGAAAGACAGAGAGAGAGACATAGAGACAGAAAGCAAGAAATCACCCCCCCAGGGGCGATGGCAACATCACAATCCCTTCTCCCCAATTTCCTCTTGGGATCTTGGGATCCCCGCATGAGTTTAAGCCACTAGGTCTGGGACTTGAACCATGGTCTACTATATGGGAGTCCAGCAGCGACATAGCCATTATGCCAACTGCTGGTCCCACCCTTGTGGATTTTATAAAAAACTCATTGTTACAGATACCTTTACTATGATCTCCTTGCTTGTTTTTTTCTGGGAATCTTTGTTAGGAAGATACTTTTCAACTCTAGTCTTATAATGAAGGAGGATAAAAACAGGTGTTAAAAATGTTCATAGATCCTATGAAAATCAAAACTAGAGACCAATAAAATTATTTCACTTCTGTAGTAATCTATAACAAAAATATATGTAAACTGTGTGTGTTTCTGAAAGGCTTTTTATTATTCCAAAGACAATGAACATTTATATGTTCATTGAAGTATACCTCTCCCCTTCCCACTCACCCTAAGTTCTGATTTGATAGGGAAATTTTTTAACCTCATGTTCTTTTGCTCTCTTCATTATGTTTCAGATAAAAGAAAGAAATATGGCATCTCTTCAGAAAGATTTAAGCCATGTTAGGGATCAACTCACAGAGGCAGAAGACAAACTATCCCACTTCTTAGAAAAAGAAGATAAGACTGAGGTACAAGACAGTCGAAAGATCTGCATATTAGAACCGCTTCCTACTACAGTGGGTAGAAGCTCTGCATCTCAGACGGACAAGACTCCCAAGGTCAATAGCAGCAATCAGACCCCACAAATTCCTGTTAGGAATGCAGGAATCCAGATTGATCTACAGAATGAATGTTCCTCAGAAGAAGTCACTGAAATAATCAGTCAGTTTACTGAAAAAATTGGGCAGATGAGAGAACTACATGCTGCTGAAATTTTGGATATGGAATCTAGACATATTTCAGAAACTGAAACCTTAAAGAGGGATCATTATGTTGCTGTTCAGTTACTGAAAGAGGAATGTGCCACCTTGAAGGCAGTGATACAGTGTCTGAGGACTAAAGAGGTATTTATTTTTTTTATATTGTGTTTCTTTTCAACGTTCTGTGTTTTTAAGAGAAACTAAAAATAAATTTGGTGTCATCTCTTCCTTGTGACACTATTATAATTTTGAACTTTTCCATTTTATAGAGTTATTTGGAGCTTGTTCCTTAATTGTGAGTGTTTCACTATGGTAATATCCATGAAAAAAATATATAGACTTGCTATAAACCACTAATAGTTTCATTTATTGCAAAAAGTATGACATGTTTAATTAATTCTTTTTTACATTTAGAAATAGCAAAACAATTCATTTGATTCTACTTTTATTAAAGCCAAAAATGTTTTTTCCCCTCAATTAGGGATCCTCAATTCCTGAATTAACACATTCTGATGCTTACCAAAGTAGAGAAGTGTGTTCCAGTGGTACGTTATCTAAATTTCTGTAATGTTTATAGCGTATGTTAAAAAGTGTTGTGGGAAGGGGCAGTTTTTTAATAGAACATGGTTTTCTTTATTTTAGATTCTGGATCAGACTGGGGTCAGGGAATTTATCTTACACAGAGTCAGGGATTTGACATAGGATCAGAAGGACGGGAAGAAGGTGAAAGTTCAACAGATTCATTTCCAAAGAAAATAAAGGTACTAACAGTCCAATATCTTTCAGTAAACTGAGTGCCATTTCTATATTGAACATTGTAGGTGACTAGAATTTATATAATGGAATCCTTTCTGAAGAGAGAACTGCATAGCTGTAAGGACTTGTCCATCTATTTTATTTTTGGTACTTCACAGATAAGAAAGTACAGTGTATTTATGGATTATATGTATGAAGTGTTTTTCTTAATAATTGTTATTTTTGATGTTTTTGTTTGCCAAAATTATTTTAAAAGTCTCAAAGTTTAGAAGTTATTTCACATTTATTTCTTTTGGTTAATCATTAAACTTAGGAAGAATACGTTAGCTAAGTAGAGATGAAAACTATAAAAAGTCACAAATGGGCTACTGGAGTTGGCACACCACTCCACAGGAGGAAGGTATTTGGTAATGGTAGGCTAGAGTTTCCTGTCTAAATTGGCTTTTCTAAATCAATATAGCTAGATAAAGCTATCTTACTTGTAACTTATTTCTCTTTGATTGTCTAATTTTTCAGTGTTTGAAGAAGTTGTTGTAATTCTGACTTTTGGGTTTGGTTATTAGGGCTTACTGAGAGCTGTCCATAATGAGGGCATGCAAGTGCTTTCCCTCACAGAGTCTCCCTATAGTGATGGAGAAGATCTTTCTGTTCAGCAAGTTCCAGAATATTGGCTAGAAGAGAGAAGAGCTTACCTCAGTACAATCTCATCTCTTAAAGATTTAATCACCAAAATGCAAGTGCAAAGAGAAGCTGAGGTACCCAAAATATGTTATGCTTTTAAATAGTTTTATATATTTTGTTAAAATAATTATGCACTTTTCAAATTATCTTTCGTATATGTTTTCCCTTGAATTACTATATATTTTTATACTTTAAAATTAATTCAAGAATGCTCTTGGGCTTTTAATATTTATTTTGGTTAGTAGATTGGTACTTCTAGAATGCTTTCTAGAAACATGCTTATTTGAAAACTAACTTATTATGTGTCCTCTGCTAGGTTTATGATAGTTCTCAATCTCATGAGAACTTTACAGACTGGCGAGGTGATCTTCTGCTTGCCCTTCAACAAGTTTTCTTAAAGGAGCGCAGTGTTTTACTAGCCGCCTTTCAAACTGAACTAACAGCTCTAGGTACCAGAGATGCAGTTGGATTATTAAACTGTTTGGAACAGAGACTACAAGAACAGGTATCAAAGTGAAAGTTTATTTTAAAGAACATTTTTTTTTTAATCGAGTATGTGACACACACACACACATATACACACATATACAAGAAGGAGAAAGAGCACCCTTGACAGGATCTTATCATGCCACAGTCTCCCCTTCCTAGTTCTTCAGCTCCTTGGGATCATGGTTATTTGCACATGCCTATTGTGTTCTTTTTTTTTTTTGAAGAGGTTTTTGCAATAGGGCACGTGCGCTCACCAGAGAGACAGAGAGACGGACAGCGAGAAATCCCCCCCCAGGGGGGATGGCCACGCCGCAATCCCTTCTCCTCCATTCTCCTCTTGGGATCTCGGGCATGCACGCACACGCGCCTGGCGTGAGTTTAAGCCACCGGGGCCGGGACGTGAACCACGGTCGACTACATGGGAGTCCAGTGACATAGCCATTACACCAACTGCTGGTCCCCCTTTTGTGTTCTCAAGCTGACCTCGGGATGAAACTTGTGTCATCTATATAGCTTCCAGCCTGTGAGGCACATGTGTTACCACTAGGCCACGGTGGTTGAACCTAAACACTTTCAGTGCTTTAGTAGTTGTTAGTTACTAATTTTAGTTTTAAGTATGAAGGTTAACATTTTAACAGGAGCCAGTAAGATTTAGGAGAAGAAATACTGTCTTAAATGTTTTATGTTAGAAAGTAGGACAGACTTATATCCAGCAAGTGGTTTGGTGGTTGGGGCGTTGGACTCCTACTGGTCAGCTGAGATTCAAGTCCCAGATCCAGCAGCTTGAAATGCAGACCAGGCATGTGTACGTGGGGTAACTGAAATCTTGAGAGCAGAAGGGATTACGGTGTGACCATACCTCTTGAGGGGTGATTTCTCACTTTCTCTCTGTCTCTCTGATGAGTACACATACCCTATAATAAAAATCTCTCAAAAAAAAAAAAAGAAAAGACTGAAAATTTAATGAGCCAATCACTTATAACATAAGAAGTTAGAAAAAGAACAACAGCATAAACCAAAGAAAGCAGAAGGAATAAAATACAGTCATTTCTTATTATTTGCAGTAAGTTATGACATCAGCTGGGGTTGTGCACTCTTGGCGGTTTGTTTTTTGCTGCTCTCTGCATGACTGGGAATGCCCATGAACACAACACAAGTGTTGATTTGAGGGTTACAAATTAATTCTAGTGAGTAGGCAAATCTGCAAATATAGATCTGTGAACAATGAGGATTAGTTACAATGAAGAAGTTGTTTAATGAAATAGAAGCTCTGGTAAAATAAAGAAAATAACAATATTAATAGTTCTTTAAGAAGGCTAATAGAATTTTTTCTCGAGAATTTTCAAGGAAAATGGTAAGGCATACTTTAAAAGTTAAGAATGGAGACAAGCAGATGGCTAGGTGGTTACATACCTGGACTCCCACGTGGCCAACTGTAGTTAGAGTCCTCAGCCAGGAAGCATGAAATTCACACTAGGCACATGTGTGTATGGCAGAATCCTGAGAGGAGAACAGAGAAGGGATTGGTGGCATGACCATCCCCTCTGGGGGGTGATTTCTCACTTTCTGTCTCTCTCTGGCAAGCACTTACACCCTATAGCAAAAATTAAAATAAAACAGAACACATCAGTAGTTATCAGGGGTTAGAATTATAGAGGTTTGACTACAAACGAATTTCTTTGTGGTGATTTAACATTTCTTTCTTTTTATTTTTTTTTCATTTATTTTAATTTGACCAGAGAGAGCAACACAGAGAGGGAAAATGAGAAAGCAAGCTACCAGGTCCAGGACTTAAATCACGGTCGGCCATGTGGGAGTCCAGCACCTTAACCACCATGCCACCTACTGGTCCCGGTAATTTAACATTCCTGTTCCATGATTGTAGTGGTACTATAATATATATTACATAAACTTAAATAAATTTTGTAATATCTACTACAAAAAGAATAAATGTATGTAAAAATTAAAGAAATCTGAATAAGCCCTGTAGTTTAAATGGTATTATACTAGGTCAGTTTTCTGAGTTTGATAATGTTCTATGGTTGTATTAGAATTTATCACTGGGAAGAGCTGGCTGAAGGGATACACGGGAACTTTTGCTTATTTTATTTCAAAATACAAAACAGTAACTAGCCTGGACTCTTCAAAAATTCAAGGTCATAGGGGCCAGCAGTTAATGGCTATGTCGCTGGGCTCCCATGTAATTGATCGCAGTTTGTGTCCCGGACTGGTGGCTTAAAACTCATGTTGGGCATGTGTGTGTGTGTGTGTACCCAAGATCCCGAGAGGAGAATGGAGGAGAAGAGATTGTGGCGTGGCCGTCCCCCCTGGGGGGTGATTTTTCACTTTCTTTCTCTCTGTCTGTCTCTGTCTGCCTGGTGTGCACATGCGCCCTATAGCAAAAACCTCTCCAAGGAAAAAAAAAAAAAATTCAAGGTAACGAAAGAGAAAAACAGGAGAATATCACTTTCTCTTTTGCTCTTAGGACATTCGGCAAAATTTGAATAATATCAGTATATTAGATAATAATATACTAATGTTATTCCCACTTTTGATAATTGTATTGTGTTTCTTTAAAAGACTGTTCTTGTGTTTAGGAAATACACTGCAATATTTAAGGATAAAGGAACATCTGTAACATATCCTGTCACATTTTGGGAAAGAAAAATAATAAAATTTTTAAATAATAAAAATTTTAGCATAAGTGTTTATTTTTTCGTTCCTCTTCAGACTTCTAGGTTGTTAATCTTACTGTCTGTCTTTATAACTCTCTTCACTCAGTTTTTTAATTTTCCTTTGTTACAGAGTATAGAATTTCGAGCAGCCATGGAATGTCTTCAAAAAGCAGATCGAAGGAGTTTGTTATCTGAAATCCAAGTACTGCATGCCCAAATGAATGGTAGAAAAATGATTCTGAAAAGAGAACAAGAGAGTGATAAACCAAGTCAAGGTATGTTGTATGGCAGGTTCATATGATTTCACAATTAGTGAAACAATTTCACTTGTCTTCCTTTTTATTATAATTCAGTCAAAACACATTTCCTCTTAGTCACATTTTTATCTCATTCTCATAGCATTAAGGAGGTAATCTATATTAATTACTGTAGGTGTTAGAGGATTGTCATAAAGGTTTGAAACAGATTTATTTCATTTAAAACAAACAGCCATTGCCTTGATCAAGTCATTAGACCCTTTAGTTCATTATCATCCTTTGCTTTATTTTTAACTTTGAATCATAATAACAGGCATGCACACACATGTGAGAATGGAAAAAAGGAGCACCCTCCACAGAGTTTGGTTATGCCTCAATCCCCTTCTTCAGTCTTCCATCCACTGGATCTGGGGCACTCATATGCATGCCTGGTGTGTTTCAGGCTCACTAGACTAGAGATTCAAACAACAATCACCAGATGGAACCAGCTTCTCTTGAGAAGCGTACTACTGCACCAAGAAGCTTGCCCTCTCCTGGTTAAGAAGACAGTATTTCCTATATTCTTTAAAGGATTACCACTTAAAAATATATCTGAAATGAAAGTAACTTTCCTTTCTGATTCTTAAGAAAAACAATTATAAACTGTAACATTACATATTGAAAAGCATGAACTTCAGATGTTTAGTAAAATCATTAAATGAGTATCTATTGAAAGCATGGGGCCAGCAGATGGTGTGGTGATTGAGGCACTAGACTCCCACATGGCTAACTGAAGTCCCAGACTTGGCTGCATTTCTCTCTCTGTCTCTCTCTCTCTCTCTCAGGTGAGCATACATGCCCTATAAAATTAAATAATAATTATAATAATTAAATCTTTTTTTTAAAATCACCTACATGAAGAAGTAGAACATAGCCAGTATCCCAAAAGCCCCTTTTACAAACACACATTCCTCTGTAGTTACTTATAGGCAATTATTATCCTGTTTTTTCTTTAGTTTTTGTTTTCTTGGGGGATTCTATTTTTAGAGAGATTTTTGCTATGGGGTGTATGAGCTCACCAGAGAGACAGAAAATGAGAAATCACCCCGCAGGGGGATGGCCACACTACAATCCTTCTCCATTCTCCTCTTGGGACTTGGGGCATGCACGCACATGTGCCCAGTATGAGCTTTAAGCCGCCAGATCCGGGACTCAAATCACTGTCAACTACATGGGAGTCCAGCAATGTAACCATTACGCCACCTGCTGGTCCCTTTTTTAGTTTTGCTACCTGTTTATATACTCACAAACCATATAGTTTTCCCTATTTTTGAACTTTATCAGTCGATCTGTATATAAACAGTCTTCAAGAAGTTCAAGAAAAATGAATATAATTAAAAAACCCAGGGGCCAGATGTGGTAGTGGTTAATTCCAGTGCACATGTCCTAAAGCAAAAAAAACTCTAAATTAATTAATTAATTTAATTTAATTTAAAAGTCCTGTGCATGGATTTAAAAATGTTTGCACCAAAATAAATTTGTACTTAGATTTCATTTTTCCACAGACTTTTTGAAGTCTCTTCATAGTTAGTTACACTATTAATTGCTACAATTACTATGTATGCTTGTCAAAAATTATAAAAATTTTTTAGTGTGAGCCTTTAAAACTCTGAGTGAACAACTGCAAATTCCTGCTTATAGCATTGTGTGAACATTAAAGCTTCATTAATTTTCAAGGTTTGCATCTAAATATGCTTTTGTCTTGACAAATAGCTATAAGGATAACACACATGACATATATTTATTGGGTTGTTGGGAAAGTCATGATGTATTTTTTTCTGTTTTTCTATGCAAAAATAATGACTTTTCTGACAACCCATCATATAAATTACAAACTCTTGGGACTGAAATCTTTTCATATTTGGCTTGCAGTCATCTCCTTAATTACAAATAAATTTTTATCAAAATATTGATAAACCAAATATGAGTTGTTAGGTCACATTATTAACGTTGGCTATTTTCCATTTAGAGCTCTTGGAATATAATATGCAGCAGAAGCAGTCTCAGATGCTGGAGATGCAGGTGGAGCTCAGCAGTGTGAAAGACAGAGCAACAGAGCTGCAGGAGCAGCTGAGTTCTGAGAAAATGGTGGTTGCCGAACTGAAGAGCGAACTTGCACAAACTAAATTGGAACTAGAGACGACACTCAAGGCACAGCATAAGCACCTCAAGGAATTAGAGGCATTCAGGTGTGCTAAGCTTCCTTATTATAAGCATGTGGTACGAAGGAATTAGTGACTTTTTTCATAAAACATGTAAATATCTCAAACTGTAACATTATAATGTTTAAGTAGCATGAAACTATGTTATTAATAGTAAAAAGTACAGTAGAGAGGAAAAACTAAATTCTTCTAAAATATAAACTGATTATATTGCTTTGTTCTCTACTGTCGCTTCAGTTCTATATGAAACTTGATATGTAAGATGTAATTTTGACTTATTTTACTGCCAGCTAATTTGAAGTGATATTTATGAGCTCAATAGAATGTTTAGTTTAATTATCTAAAAAATGCAAACTGAAGAAATAATACTTACAGAAAGGATATATTTGTGGATATAAAAATTGAGATTTTTCTGCTTGCCAAAGACATTACTAGTATAGTCATTTTTATTTTGAACATTGGTTTCACACAAATATTCCTGAGAATCCCATGTTCAATAGAAAAAACAAGGGAAATTTAAAAATATTATTTCGTAACAATAAATTGCAGATTTTTTGCAATAGTGATTAACAGCTTTTGAACATTTTTTTATTTTGAACATTGGTTTCACACAAATATTCCTGAGAATCCCATGTTCAATAGAAAAAACAAGGGAAATTTAAAAATATTATTTCGTAACAATAAATTGCAGATTTTTTGCAATAGTGATTAACAGCTGTACTACAAAAAACAGTTACTTTCAACTGAATCACAGTTAAGAATCTAACTTCATGTGATTTATATTTTCTTATTAAATAGTTTATAAATTTCCTCAACTTTTAGTAGAAACTGTTTTTCCTTTCTCTCTCTCAATACTTGGTCAAGATAGTTTCATAAAGTTCATTTGTCTCTCTGATTTTAGGTTGGAAGTTAAAGATAAGACAGATGAAGTACATTTGCTCAATGATACATTAGCGAGTGAACAGAAAAAATCAAGAGAGCTCCAGTGGGCTTTGGAGAAAGAGAAAGCCAAATTGGGACGCAATGAAGAACGAGATAAAGAAGAACTTGAGGTTGTTAGCCTTGTCTTTAAATGTTTCTGGAATATCCAAAACGATAGAAGAGAGTCTTAAAACTTTCCTTTGTCTAAAATGCCAACTTTAGACTCTTCGATAAGATGTATTAAGTTGTTTACTATGGGTTAAATACTATTATAGTGTTACTTAGACAGTATTAAGAGGAAATGCTAATTGTGTGATGACTTATTTTTTACGTTCCAAGATGCATATGGAGTGCCCATTGCACCTTATTTGGGGGATATAAATTAGTGCACTCATAATTGATAAATAGAGCATGTCAGTTGAATGCAGTAGTTTTGGTTCTTGTTTCCTTCCTGAGGAGGGGATCAAGGATACTTTCCTGGCAGAGGAGCCCTTGCAGGGTTCTCATCTCAAGACAGGTTATACCAGGTACCATGCCTACTTCAGTTTCATGGTCCCAGAGTTTTTCTATGCACATAATCCCAGCATCTGCTATCTCTAGCTTTGAAATGTGATGCCACTATTTCTGCCCTAATTTTCTGTTAACATCTGCTAGGGTACCCTACAGGAATAATGAACTTTCTACCTGCCAGGAACATGTTATTTCGCCAGGTGATACTGTTACTACTGTTTATCATTAAAAATTTGCATAGATCTTGAGTAATTTGTCCCTAACCCTGTTTTTCTCATAAGCCCTATTATTTTTAAACTGCAATATTGCCAAACACAAGGTTTTTAGAAGCTCGTATAACATTGTATCAGAAACACTTGTATTTTTTAAAGGTTGTTATTCGTAGGAAAAATGTAATCTGCTTCATATTCCTTAGCTAGATACAATTAATATTTTGAGAGAGAAACACTTTTTTTTACCTAATTATTATTTATCTTCCTTGGTGAAAATCAGTTGACTGTTTACATTATTCTCTAACCAATGTAAATAAAAGAGAAAAAATTGAAGGGGAAAAAAAATCTCCTATTACAAAATACTACTAACTTAATATTGATAAAGATATAGCTGTGTACATATTAAGTATCTTGATAATAGTAATAAGCTCTTAATTTTATTTTCTCCTGTAAGGATTTGAAATTTTCACTTGAGGCTCAAAAACAAAGGAATATCCAGCTAAATTTACTTTTAGAACAACAGAAACAACTACTAAATGAATCGGAGCAGAAAATAGAGTCACAAAGAATGCTATATGATGCCCAGTTATCAGAAGAACAAGGTCGAAACTTAGAGCTTCAAGTACTTCTTGAATCCGAAAAAGTTCGGATTCGAGAAATGAGTAGTACTCTTGATAGGGAGCGGGAATTGTATGCACAGCTGCAGAGCAATGAGGATGGTGGGGAGTCTCGGCCTTCTTTACCATCTGAGGACCTACTTAAAGAACTACAAAAACAGCTAGAGGAAAAACACAGTCGCATAGTAGAATTATTAAATGAATCTGAGAAATATAAACTGGATTCTTTGCAAACAAGACAGCAAATGGAAAAAGATAGGCAGGTTCATAAAAAGACATTGCAGACAGAACAAGAGGCCAACACTGAGGGACAAAAAAAAATGCATGAGCTCCAGTCCAAAGTGGAAGATCTTCAGCGCCAACTGGAAGAAAAACGGCAACAAGTTTATAAGTTAGACCTTGAAGGAAAGCGATTACAGGGAATTATGCAGGAATTCCAGAAACAAGAACTGGAACGAGATGAAAAAAGAGAAAATAGAAGAATTCTGTATCAGAATCTTAATGAGGTAAATTGGCACTTTCTTTCTTTTAAGATACTTTTTGAAGCAGTACCGCAAACTTTTGATCACAAAATTCTGATATTAAAGTATTTTTTTAAAGAACTATTTATTTATTATTATTGTTATTACTATTTTTCACATGAGTTTTCCCAGAGAAAGACAGAGAGAGAGAAAGCAAGCCTCCAGGTCCGGGACTCAAACCATGGTCAGCCTTGTGGGAATTCCTGCACCTTAACCACCATGACACCTGCTGGCCCCCCGATATTAAAGTATTTAAATAGCCATGTGCAGATCACTTAAAAATGAAATCTATAGTAGTTTATTTTTAATATAAATAATAATTGTGTTTCCTTGAAAAAGAGTATGATACACTATTCATTTGGAATTATTGTTCTCTCTTTCTGTCTGAAATTGCCAGCCAACCACATGGAGTTTAACCAGTGATCGAACTAGAAACTGGGTTCTTCAACAGAAAATAGAAGGTGAAACAAAGGAGTCAAGCTATCCAAAACTGATTGAAATGAATGGAGGAGGAACTGGCTGTAATCATGAATTAGGAATGATCCTACAAATGCTACAACATGTAGCTTCAAAACTACAGCATCTAGCTCGGAAAGCCTCTACTAGGTTAGACTTTCCCTCCTGATGTTTGGAAATGGCTTTTTTAGACCCATACCTCACTAATAGCTAGCCAAAGGTGGGGAATTAAATTTTAAAGGTAATCTGTGTTTATGTTAGAAAATAAGTACTGCTTTTTAACAAAACTCCTATCTGAAAAATCTGTCTTAACCCTTGACTCAAAAAAGCAACATTTAACATAAGGGAGAAGTCATTGGTGAAGCAGAACATTCCCAATCTGTTATGTTTGTGCTAGTATGCATCCCAATTAAGATAGTATGTTTTGACTTTTGCATTTTTCTTGAAGACTACAGTTTGAAACAGCAGATGATGAAGATTTCATGTGGGTTCAGGAAAATATTGATGGTATTATTTTACAACTACAGAAGTTAATTGGCCAGCCAGGTGAAGAGGTAAGACTTAAAAAGCTCTTTCGAAAGAATTGAGAGCAAAGGTTTAATAGAACTATTAAATCCTTTAAAACTGGCAGCATATTCTATAGTTTATTTATTTATTTTTTAAATAAATTTTTGCTGTAGGGCACATGTGCTCTCTGGAGAGACAGAAAGTGAGAAATCATGCCCCAACCCCAAAGGGGATGGCCACACCACAATCCCTTCTCCTCCATTCTCCTTGGGATTTTGGCACATGCACCTGGCGTGAGTTTCAAGCTGATGGGTCAGGGATTCAGACCACCATCAACCCTGTGGGATTCCAGTGCCTTAACCACCACGCCACCTGCTGGCCCCTATAATTAAAAGTTTATGTTTTATTTACTTGAAATTTGAATAACAGTGTTTGCCTTTCCAAGATAAAGCTTGGGGAAAAGTATCTTTTGTTATTTTTATTGAATAATGACATTGGCCTCTTACTGTATTAAGAAGCCAAGCTTTTAGAAAAAGTAGTCTGGCTTCAACCCTCACTATTCCATAAAACCACCCTTAGAATCCTACCAGTGTCAGGGCTGGCTCTGTGGTCTGATGGTTAAGGTGGCTGAAACTGCAATTCAATTCCTGGATGTGGTGGCTTAAGAAACACACCAGGCGTGTGTCAAAATCCAGAAAGGAGGGAGAGGTGAAGGAGAAGAGATGCAGCATAACCATTCCCTAGGGGAAGTGGTTTTTCCTTTTCCTTTCTGTCTCCCTAGAGAGAGCATGTACCTTCTAGGAAAAAAGAAAAAAAAACTTACCAATGTCTTCACAATTAACTAACTTAGTGAATCATTTTGGTCCCTCTCTCCTTTGTAGCATTTGACAGTTATTAATCCTTTCTTTGCCTTTTTTTATTAGTATTCTGTTCTGTTTTTTCATTCTTTAAAAATTTTATTTCCTTCTGTCAGGTAGTAAGAGAGGCAGAGAGACAGGCGTCCCCTACAGGTTCTTCATGCCATGATCCACCTCCAGCTTCAGTCAGCCCTGAATCATGGCATGCACGTGCCCCGTATGTTTAGGGAGGTCTCACATAGACACTGGAATCTTGCCGCGTGGGCCTGTCTCACATAGCATTGTGTTACTGCTGTGCTACCATTTGGCCTCCTCTTCTACTTCTTTCATCAGTCACCTTTCTTGTCTTCTGCCTTTTTCTTTAACTATAAAAATTCATTCATTCTCATACCTTGAGCTCTTAGACTTATTCATTGACCAGATAATATTGATATTTACTATGTGCCTGGTACTATACTAGGTTCTGGGATACAATGAGAAAATCTGATTTGAAAGAAAAAAATGTACCCTTTTATAGAGCTTATCTTCTAATGGTTCTAGTCTAGACCTTGGTCCTGTGATCTAGGCCTGTGTTTTCAATTATTACTAGACATGTTTCATGGGGAAATGTTCCCTATATACACCCTGTAGGAACCTCATAATCACATTCCAAACTCCTTTTTCTTTCCTATCCAGACTACATTTCTGGTAGTGATATTGCCAAGTTTAGAAAGCCAGCAGTTACCATAGATCACCTTCCTTCACGAACCTCGTGTGCATGCACACCTAAGCACTTGCTAAGTCCTGTGCCTTCTACTTCCGCAGTATCTACCCCACGTGCTCTTTACTCTCTTTCCTTTAGTCATTGCCTTCATTGAGGCATGTTTTCCCTTAGTCATTGCCTTCATTGAGGCATGTGGCATTTCTTAACTTCACTATGACAACTTCCTGATGGGTCTGCCTAACACCAGGATTTTACATCTTCTGTAATTTATTCTGCTTTGCACACTGCTAACAAAGAATTTTTTTTTTTTTTGGAGAGATTTTCACTATAGGGTGCGTGCGCTAGCCAGACAGACAGAGAGAGACATAGAGACAGAAAGCAAGAAATCACCCCCCGGGGGGATGGTCACGCCGCAGTCCCTTCTCCTCCATTCTCCTCTCGGGATCTTGGGCACGCACACACATGCGCCTGCCGTGAGTTTTAAGCCACTGGGTCAGGGACGCAAACCGCGGTCGACTACGTGGGAGTCCAGCAACATAGCCATTACGCTAACTGCTGGTTCCCAGAAAGAAATTTTTCTAACACAAAAACTTTGCAGTGGCATACTTCTGCCTAAAGCATTGCATGGCTTTCCATTGTGTACATTTAGGTCTTTTATCTATAAAGTGAAGCAGCCTTTTCCCTAGCCTTACCAAACAACTTGTATCTTTTTAAAAGCAGCACATTTTCACTCAAGCTTTTGTACCTTTTTTTCCTTTTTGTTTTTTGATAGGTTTTTGCTATAGGGTACATGCGCTCTCCAGAAAGACAGAGACAGAGAGACTGAAAGCGAGAAATCACCCCCCAGTGGGGATGGCCATACTGCAATCCCTTCTCCTCTATTCTTCTCTCAGGATCTTGGGCACACATGCACACACATACACTCGACATGAGTTTAAGCCACTGGATCCGGGACTCGAACCACGTTCAACTACATGGGAGTCCAGCAACAGAGCCATTACACCAACTGCTGGTCCCAGGGCTTTGTGTCTTTATACATGCTATTGCTTCAGCTTGATACAGGTTGACCATCTCTAACATGAAATCCAGAATGCTCCAGAATCCATAACTTTTTGAGCCACAAAATAAACACAAGGATATTGTACCACTCTACCTGTGATCCATCACATAAGGTCAGGTGTGGAATTTTCCAAAAAACATACTGAACATCGTCTTCCCTTATATCATTTTATTTTTTCCAGCTGAGCTTAGTGTCCCCAAGTATATCATTGTGGTTCATTGATATAAATGAAAGCAATTTCATGACCAGAAATGAGGGTCTGAGGCAGGAAGGCAAAAGGGAAGATAATGTTTAGTATGTCCAATGGAAAATTCCACATCTCACTTTATGTGTTGGATCACAGTCAGAATACTGCCATATAAAAATATGAGACCAGCAGATGGCATAATGGTTACGTTGCTGGACTCCCACATAGTCTACCATGGTTCAAGTCCTGGACCCAGCAACTTAAAACTCACACTGGGCACGTGTGCATGCATGCCCAAAATCCCAAGAAGAGAAGGGAGGAGAAGGGATTGCGACATGGCCATCCTCTTGGGGGTGATTTCTCACTTTCTCTCTCTCTGTCTCTCCCTCTCTGTCTCCTGTGAGCATACATGCCCTATGGCAAATTAAAATTTGTAGTATAAAATTATAGTATAAAATTACCTTCAGGCTATATATATAAAGACCTTTGGTAACATTGGTCCAGTCAGAGATGGGTAAAATTGTATAAAATTACCTTCAGGCTATATATATGAAAGATCTTCAAAAACTTCATGGAGGGGCCAGCAAGAGGTGTGGCAGTTAAGGCACTGGATTCCTACATGGCTGACCATGATTCGAGTCCTGGTGGCTTAAAACTCACACTAGGCACATGTGCGTGTGTGCCTAAGATCCTGAGAGGTAAATGGAGGAGAAGGGATTGCAGCACAGTTGTCCCCACTGGGTGGGGATTTCTCACTTTCTCTCTCTCTCTGTGTCTCTCTCTCTCTCTCTCTCACATGCACCCTAAATTTTCCCCCCCAAAATTTTTTTCCCATGGAAATACATATTATCAGAAAATTTTGTATGGGTTTTAATTTTTTGCCCCAAATAAATTTGTACTTCAAGTCCACTTTTTCCAAAACATTTTTTTGCAAAGAAAATTTTTTAAAGTATTTATTAGAATTTATTATTTACATATAATCATTATATGTCTTTGTAGGATACAGAATGGTCTTTAATTTTTTGTATTTAATTTTACTTATTATTATTTTTAATTTGCTAGAGGATACCAGAGAGAGAGAGAGTGAGAAAGGAAGCCACCAGGTCCAGATATCAAACCATGGTCAGCCATGTGGGAGTCCAGTGCTGTAACCACAATGCCACCTGCTGGTCCCCAATATGGTCTTTTAAAGTACATATAGGGACCAGCATTAGTGTAATGGCTATGTTGCTGGACTCCCATGTAGTCGACTGCTGTTCAAGTCCCAGACCCGGTGGTTTAAAACTCACACCGGGTTCATGTGCATGCGTGCTTGCCCAAGATCCCAAGAGGAGAATGGAGGAGAAGGGATTACGGCGTGGCTATCCCCCCTGGGGGTGATTTCTCTCTTTCTGTCTCTCTGTCTCTGTCTGGCGAGCACACGCGTCCTATAGCAAAAACCTCTTAAAAAGTACATATATCTTAACTACAGTCATCGAATGGATTTTTTTTTCTGAAACTTCTTTTTTTGTAACTTAATTTACATTCTTTCCCTTAGCATCATCATAGCATACACAAAATGTGATTTCTCATCTAGAATATACTGCATAGTGACTTAATCATGCATATTATTATCCAAAATTTTCTACCCCTCTTTCTGACCCTCTGTCCTTTCCCACCCTCTTCTCCCACTGTCTCTGGTGTCTACAATTGTCTTCTATTCCTTTTCCACCCACATTGTATTGA